TAATCATCCAAAACGTTATGGAACACATTAATTAACTGAAAAATGTTGCATAGTGTGCCTTTAAGATCGTAGTGCGCAGTTATTTTGTCTAGTAACTTGTTACTTTGATTGAATTTAAACTGTGTTATTTTTTGGGAGATAAAACCCAGTAAATATAAATATATATTTTTTCATTATGTAACATTCCCAAAACTTACAGACAGAATATCAGTGTTTTTGTTATCAGTTTTCACCTTTTGTTTTACTTTTAAGTTTGAATAAAAAGCGCAACCAAAAAAAAAAAAAAAAAAAACAGTCCTGGGGTGGTTGGTGGGTGATGGTCTATCTGAAAATGGTCCCCAGTTTCTTATCTGGGCCCAGTTTAGCCTTGGGCCGGCCCTGAACGTTAGCCATTTTGTGCATGTCACTGCTCTAATTGAGCCTTTTGCGGTTCCAACTTAAACAAATATAAAAAAAAAAAGAAATAAATGCACATTTGCACACTGCTACGACCTCTGCTGCTGAATCACACGGTGTCATCACTGGCCGGGTGAGGTACAGAGAGTGGAGGAGAGCACAGGGGATGAAGGAACTGATACACTGGACATGTTTACCAGGAGGAAAACTTGCTCAAGCCTGCAGAAATGTTCTCACTGGTGATGCCTCAGTTTTTTCAGAGTGCAAATTGATTAACATTTAAATTTGTTATTCTTTATGTAAAACTGTGAATGACATTCAGGCATGATGATTAGGACTTAAAATGATTTTGACTGATTAGAAAGCCAAAGATCTCATCGGCTTGCACGTAATAATAACAAAAATTATGCAACTCTGCAAACTGACATTCCACGAAAGCAATGAGAAAATGTCTACACCCAGAGAAGCTCTGCCTCCCATCAATATCTGCACAGGTAAAACTGATTTGTGGAGCAGCTCTGCCCATTTCACATGAGGCTGCAGTTTTCCGTCTGCTTTTTGAGGTCTTCCAGTGTGGCCTGGGCTTTGTCCTTCAGCTGATCGATGTCCACATTCTGGATGTTGGAGAGCTGGCCCAGGACAGACTGCTTGTGTGCTTCCTCCTGGTTGTCCTCAGCGATCATCTTAGCAAGCTCTGTGGGAAGCACCACATCATCCCCTGCCTGCTGGATCTGGGTCTCATCTAGCTCGTTCTGAGTTGAAGAAACACAAGAAGAAGAGACATTAGAAAGCTGGCTCCATTTGTTAGTTTGAGAATGATTGAGTTTAGAAATACAAGGATTTTTTTAGATTACCTTTGGTAGTCTGTACTTTTCCCGGAAATGGGTTCTAACTGTGGCCCTCTCTGCTTTCTTCTGGGCAAAATTAGCTTCTCGTTCTTGTCTGCAAGAAAGGGAGAAAAATTCATTTTAAAGGAAGAATGTTTAGTGAGAAAGAAAAGCTTCCTTCCTTACAAATGTTTGTTTGTTTTTTTTTTTAGATCAGAACTCAAGAAATTCTTCAGTACTTTTATTATGAACATTAAGCATAAAAGTCAAACCTTCATAAAAAAAATTGCAGATTAGGATCTTGGCTGACTTATTAAACCACACACATCAAAATGGTTTAAACCAGCACATGTCTACAGATGTGTCGTCATTTTGATAAATTGATTAAATTAATTAATTTATATTTAATATTCTATATTGGAAATTTGACAGTTGACAATGTAACAGAAAAATAATCTATTTTTATCAAGATTTAAGATCGTAGTTATTTTGTCTAGTAACTTGCTACTTTGATTGAATTGAAATTGTTACTTTTTGGGAGATAAAACCCAGTAAATATATATATATATATATATTTTTTTTCTTTATGTAACATTTCCAAAAGAAAATATCAGTGTTTTGTTAACAGTTTTCACCTTTTGTTTTACTTTTAAGTTTGATTAAATAGCGCAACCAAAAAAAAAAAAAAAAAGACAGTCCTGGGGTTGTTGGTGGGTGATGGTCTATCTGAAAATGGTCTCTAGGTTCTGATCAGGGCCCAGTTTAGCCTTGGGCCGGCCCTGAATAGCCATTTTTTGCATGCCGCTGCTCTAATCGAGCCTTTTGCGGTTCCAACTTTAACAGATATATAAAAAAATAAAAAAAAGAAATAAATGCTTGTCTCTTCTTCAGAAATTCAAAGTAGGAACGTCTCTTCTTTGCTTTATAATTTACTTGAAGTATCTAGCCAGTCATGATGGGTAATGAAGGAAAGAGCCAGAAGAGCTGCAGCTGTCGTATGTGTGTGGAAAAATGAGAATGTACATGTGGATGGGGGAGTAAACATGCTTCCTTCTGTTCATTCAGCTCTGCTCTGAGAGATTTCTTTCTTTCTTCCTGCTCTTATAGAGCAAAGAACTAATCACTATTATGCTTCCTTCCTGTGTTGGTCACATCTTTTGCCCTCTGGAAACAAAACAATGATCTGTGTTCAGACTTCGGCTTGTTCCACATCCACTCATGAGGAAGGGTAGCAATGCTTTTCCTCTTGGAGGGCACCTGTGACCCCTTCTCCCATTTTTGCCTGATCTAGACTTGGAGTCTGCAGCTAATGGCTTTTTGGACCTTCTGCAGTGGCTGAAAAAGCTAAAGATTCGACTAATAGCTTTGATATAATATAATGACAAATACCAGGTTTAGAAGCTTTAGCAGGTTTTCTAAAGAATATTTGAGTTGAATTTTCACAAATGTCATTAAAAGAACTAGGAATATGTTTCAGGGCTATTTTCTTGTAACCGGCTTAAAACATGTGTGTTTATATCACTTTTTTTTTTTTTTAACAAATGTCAAAATCAATCCCTCCTTCCATCCATCCATCAGGGTCAAGATGGGGCTGGAGTTTATCTCTGGTCATAGGCAGGGTATACACTGGACAGGTCGCCGGTGTGTCGTAGGGCAACACAGAGACACACAACCATGGACACCCACTCACACAATCTGGATAAGCCAGTTAACCTGTCAGTCTTTTTTGTTGACTGTGGGGGGAAGCTGGGGTACCCAGTGAGAATACACACATGCACTGGGAGAACATGCAAACTGGGTTGGCTTTCTTCTGGGGTGAGGAGCAAAGACACATTCCTATTGGTGTGCATCGTTGTTAGCAAACATCTTTTTTTGGTCAATGTGAGGTTTCTACTGGGCTTGGAGTGAAGAGAATTTGAAATGCACTTTGAAAATAATGCATTTCATAAAGCTTAATCTGAAAAATTGAAATAAAAAAAAATGAAAATCTGAAACCTGTAAAACATTTTTGAAAAAATTGAATTAAGAAAAATATGACATGAAAAATATGGGCGAAAAAGAATAAAATCTCAGATCAACATTATTCTAAAAAAAAAAAAAATGTTCTTTAAAATGTTTTTCAAAGTTTTACTTCTGGATTGATTTTTTTTTTCCCATTTATAGAACATGTTGTTTGCTTCCAAACAGTAATGTACCCAAATGGACTCCACAACTCTTAATATCAAAGAAGACATAAAGTCGCATAAAGGATTTGATTACAAATGCTAAAAACTTTGCTTCTTTTATTGCTCATACCAGAAAAGTTGCTCATGTGTGAAGACATGCAAACCTTCTGCAGATCAGGCCCTAAATGCTTTAAAATGACCAGTGACTGTCTTTTGACATTAAAGCTTAACAGTCAGCTTCAGGCTAAATCCTATCAGGTTCTATAAAACCAAGGTTTATTCTTGGGGCTCTAATGTTCCTACTTTATCTTCTGCTATTAGTTTTAGAAATACTGGTTGGCTGTTTCATATATATATGGTTATCTGTCAAGTCAACATAATAGCTTCATTTAGTCTCTATCGGATTTTCTCGATGACATCAGCAGCAATATGCCCACCTTTGACTTTTCCTCTTTCACCCACATACTGGAAATTCATTGTTACAAAGTAGGGGGATAAAATGAACTCCTGCATGAAATCTGACAGCCATATGTACAGCGTGGTAAGGATCTATTTTTATGTCAAAAATAAAGCCCTTTCTAAGTCCCACTAGAGACAGTGATCTTTCATGACCTCACGTCTGGATTTCTGCAGCTCTCTCTTGATCAGAGTTAGTCAGGCCTCCCTCTCATGGTTACAGCTGCTTCAAAATGCTGCTGCATGATATTTAGCTGCTGCAGGTAAACCATAGCACATATCTTTGGTTTTTGAGTTCTTTAGTTTGTATTTCAATCTTTGAATGGATCTAGCATATTTATCTGACCTGTTGCTGCTTTATATCATGTGTTCTTAGACCATCTGAACAGATGTTTTTAGCAGTCACTTTTATACATCCAGTGGAGACAGAGGCTCAGAGGCTTTGGCTCCTACATTGTGAAATGAGCTTAAGCTCTGGGAGGCTCCATTTCTTTCTCATTTTAAAAACACATAATTTTTGCTTAACATCTGTGTCTTAATGTTAAAATTTTCTTTGTATTTGAGATTAATTTCTATCTTCAAATATTTATCTAGCTGTTATTATTTTTATTTATTTTGTTATTGTTTATATATATTCAGTCAGCTGCAATGTTGTATTTCAAGTGCTTTAGAAATAAATGAACTATTGTATATTGGTAAATTAGATGCATCAAGCCATCATTTCTTCCCTTTTTCAAGATTGAAAGCTAAAGAGTCTTAACTGATAATCAGGTCCTCTTTAAGCATTTTTTCACAGAGCATAGCTCAGGTCTCAATGGGTACCAGACTGTTATTTATAGACATGTGAATGCATATGCATGCCCTAAACGAGGGATTTGTTTTTCTCCTACATACTCCAAAAGGTCTGTGATACTTTTACTCAACATGTTTAGTAGTGTTATAGGGAAGACCGTACCAACCAGGACCGAGGCAAGGCCAGGACCTTATATGCTCTTGTCTTGGTCTCTGCCTCTAAAGGTCTTAGACTTGTCATGGTGTCAGCCTCTAAAAGTCTTGGGCTTGTCTTGTTCTAGGCCTCTAAAGGTCTTGGACTTGTCTTGGTCTCTGCCTCTAAAGGTCTTAGACTTTGTTGGTCTCTGCCTCTAAAGATCTTGGACTTGTCTTGGTCTCTGCCTCTAAAGGTTTTAGACTTGTCTTGGTCTCTGCCTCTAAAGGTCTTAGTTTCGGCCTATAAAGGTCTTGGGCTTTTACTGGTCCCAGCATGTCAAAGATCTTAGACTTGTCTTGGTCTCGGCCTCTAAAGGTCTTGGGCTTTTATTGGTCTCTGCCTTTAAAGGTTTTGGGCTTGTCTTGTTCTAGGCCTTTAAAGGTCTTGGACTTGTCTTGGTCTCTACCTCTAAAGGTCTTAGTTTTGGCCTATAAAGGTCTTGGGCTTTTACTGGTCCCAGCATCTCAAAGATCTTAGACTTGTCTTGGTCTCTGCCTCTAAAGGTCTTAGTTTCGGCCTATAAAGGTCTTGGGCTTTTACTGGTCCCAGCATCTCAAAGATCTTAGACTTGTCTTGGTCTCTGCCTCTAAAGGTCTTAGACTTGTCTTGGTCTCTGCCTCTAAAGGTCTTAGTTTCGGCCTCTAAAGGTCTTGGGCTTTTACTGGTCCCAGCATCTAAAGATCTTGGACTTGTCTTGGTCTCTGCCTCTAAAGGTCTTAGACTTATCTTGGTCTTGGCCTCTAAAGGTTTTTGACTTGTCTTGATCTCGAACTCTAAAGATCTTAGACACTTCTTGGTCTCTGCCTCTAAAGGTCAGTATTCTTTGGTCTCAGTTGGTTTGGTTCTGACTGCAGCACCACTGTTGAGCATCAAACAAACTATAATGGTTTTTACCGTTTTAAGTGTCTGAAATACAAATATTTTAGTATATTTATTGCTGAATAACAGCAGTTATAATCATGACTGTAACATTTGGCAACCTTTAAACTAGAGTCTGTAGTGATGACTGTGCAGTAAATTATCTATCCATCTATTCTTTATACTTGATCTTTTGTTATCAGAAATGGGACATCGGAGTCGAGGGCCCATCCTGTGCAACAGTGTTTACTTCTAAGAGTAATTTATACAATTTAGAGAAAACAAATAACCTAATGATTATTTTTGCACTGTGGAAGGAAGCCAGATTCCCCTGAGATAGCTTACACACACTTGGAGGAAACAAATGAATGTCCTACAGAAAAGCTGAGCAGTCTTAGCCTCTTATCCTATCTTGTTTGTTAACTACAAATATTTGCCTCTGTGCATTGATACGTTCTGCTAAACCATTTTATTCTCCAAGGATTAAGCTTCTGAGCAAACATACAATCTAAAGGTTTAAAATATAAAGACAAAACCAATGGTTTTTCAATCTGATGCATAATATCTCATTAACTGATTTAAATTCAAAAGTTATTAAAAAAGGTTATTAATCCAAAAGGGAAATTAAATGTTGTAGTTAGTCATGGGCATTGTTATTATTCATTATTAGTTCTTCTCTACAGAGGCATTTTTCTGTTTTGAAAATATTGTCCCATGAACAAAGTGGCAATCAGAAACATTCCATAAAAAAAATAAAACTTAGCATTGTATCTACCCAACCACAACAGCTTGGATGCCTTAAAAAGGGTCCAAAGTTAAGAATGGAACATTGGACTGAGCTTTCTGGTGCTGGCTCCAGCAGGGGGCAGGCAGGAAGTGTTTTCTCCTTTCCAGACTGTTAGAATGTTAATTGGTAAATTAGCTTTCAGCCACAGACAGTGTGAGCCAACTGGGCATAAGGATTTTAATCAAACTGGCTCTGAAAAGCCAGAGGTGTAACATCTCATGAAAACAAAAGCAAAAAAAAAAAGATTAATGAGAATATTTTGTGCGGAGACGGAAAACAAAGAACGTCCTTAGGACAAAATAATCAATTGATGTTTCAGAAGCTGAAATATGAACGCCTGGATCAAATCAGCAGCAGCATCAGAACACAAAGAAACACTAGAAGAGACACGCTTTGTGTCAAAGGGAAGGTCATTTCCTGTGGAGAGGGAGCATTCATGTTATTTTTTCCCTCTTGTAATCTGGAGATCACTTCAGATTAACCAACCAAACACTGAAAGGCCATGCAACTTACAGCCAATGGGCTGCGTCTGTGCCTTACACCTCTCAAGGGCATCATTTGACCCAGGTTGTCAGAGATGTGGCCTGGATGCTGAGGGTGATAAAATGCCTCTGTGTGTCATGGCGTGTGAGCTCAAAAGCCTCATTCTGTTTTAATCTGAGCAGGATGAGCTTCTCTGTGATCTATGTTCAAGTTTAGCACCTTCTGACTAATAATTCTTTCCCACTCAAGGTCACGTCACGATGGAAGAGTGTCAGGCGGCTCTCCTGTGGAGCTCAGTAGGCTCAGCTGAGTGTTAATGGCTTCACCTCCCACTCACTCTTAAAAATGTCTGCACATGGTCTCAAAAGACAGGTTTGACGAAAGTGTTCGTAGAGAGGTGTTAGTTGATAATGGCAGGGAGCCAGAATCAGCAGAGAAACTGGAACATTTCGCCCCTCATGAGAAATCTGACCTCTTATGAATCCTTATCAAACATCTTAAACCATCTAATAGATGTTTGTGGATGGAAGAGTCATATTAATCTCAACTGGCTTACATTTAAATACCTATTTGTTTATTTGTATTTCATTTTTATTCTTATGATTTAATCATTTGCTTTAGTTAAAAGAAGATTAGTTAAAAGAAGAAAAAAGGCAGATTTAGAGCAACTCAAGGATGGTGAATGAATTAATTAACTTAAGTTCTGCTTATTTTTGTCTGATTTTTCATGCATCCTAACGCGCAATAATCGGGGACATCTTTCCCCCCTGGCACAGCACAGGTATTCTGAGAGATAATAAAAAACTGGATAAATAAATTAATTTGAACATGAACTCTATGTTTTCGCCCGAGCTCCTCCGGGCGAGAGGAGCAGCTGCGAGAGGAGCGCTCCTATTATTGCACTGATGCGTAAAAATGCGCACTGAGCGCTCCTTTCTCTCTACCCATAACATCACATTAGACAGCAATGGTTTTAGTGAAAGAAGAAAAAGGAAACTATAGGAAACTATCTCCATGTTGATCGCAAATCTATACAACATATTGATTTTCAGCGCCTTACTTTTCCTCCTCTAACTGTTGCTGATATTGTTCAAATTCCTCTTGGGTCATTCCCTGCGCGGCGGCGTCTGATTTCTCTCCCTCGGATTTCTCCTCCGTGAGTCCGCCCGTCAGGTTCTTCAGCTGCCCTCCCACCACGTGTTTCACCATGAAAGCCATGGCTACGGTCCGAAGAGTGCTCGGTTTGAGCGGCTTGCGCTAAAGACTCGGTGCGCTCCTGGAACGAGCGGCGGGGAGATTTCTGCCAAGCGGTGCTCAAGTCAGATGTATGGAGTCTTCAAATGGAAAACAAAGCTTAACTTTAGGGAATTAAAAAGCTTTTGGACCTGAAAGCAGAGGAATTTGAGATCGCTCCAGTTTTCAGCACCACTGAACCCCGGACAGCTCCGCGTAGAGATGGACTGAGAGGAGCAGCTCGGCTGTGAGTCAACAAGTTTGGCGCTGAACTCTACCAATCCCGTGACTCCGTCCTCCGCCACCACTCCCTCCCTCCCACCCACCCAATCCCAGGCACCGCCGGACTCGGAAGGCGCCCGCCGTCGTGATTCGCCGTCAGATGGGCGCGGGGAGCAAGACGACACGTGAGCAGTCCGAGTTCCTCCTGGCCGCCTCGGTGCCCGCTGTCTGTCTCAGCGACATCCAGCCGTTAAGCAGTTTGTCAACAGATGAAAGCTTCCTAATTGCCTGTTGTCTGTCATCCTCGGGACCTGCTTGGGTCCATTTGCCAACAGCAGTGGCGGCTCTAGACAGAATTTACCTGGGGGCCATAGTGGGGACAGACACACCGGGAAAAAAAAGGGAAAAGAATGAAGAAGAAAATTAAGCACTTGTTCATCATTTAGAATATTATAGGAATAGTACACCCAAAACATGATTAGCCTTCATTTTCTACTCACCCCC